TGCGGGGAGAAGGGTGCAACAATGAATGAATGGAATCCCAAAATCTCTGTAGATGTTCATTGAAATGAAAAATAAACAACCTAAATTTAAAAAAAAAATGTCCAAGGAAATAGATAAGAGAGCCAAATACCCCCAAATAAGGTTAATGACCAAAATGATCTTCACACTTATTTCGTCAATGTTATCATTGGAGGTGGAATAACTGCTAATAAAGGGATTTTGACCTTCACGGTGTCACAGTAAAAGCTACATATGAGCTTTCCTAAGGAACATATGAATTGGTAGAGATAACTGGCAATTTATCTCATCAAACCAATCTCTCCTCCGCCAGCCCCATAAATTCAGAGCTTTGGATTTTTCGTTCCCCCTTCTCCTCGGAGCGGTAAGGATTTCAGAAATAAACACTGTCTTCCTACAGGTGTAAGCACTTTGTTTATCCCGTGAATTACCATCCTTCCCTCCCCCCTCCAATGTCCTTTCCCCACCCTGCCTCGTGGGCGGGCAATGCACTGGAGCAAATGGAATCGCGCGGGAATCCCAAACAAGGTTTGCGGTTGGCTGTTTGCATGCACGAAGCTTCCGGGGAAGAGGTGGCATGCCCTCAAATAGCAAGAAATAGGGCTAAATATCTCCCTACTCGGAGATTGCCAGGGAGCCTCCCAATTAGCTGTCTCTGTTCTAGGCCTCAAACATGGAGGTGTCCAACGTGGAGTCTGACTTGGAGGAATCCACAGCGGAAGACGACGTGGAAATGGAGGTAGACCGGCCTCCGGGGATCCCTCCTCGCAGGAAGCTGCGCCCCCGGGGGTGGTGGCTGAAGCCCCAGCACTTGCAGAGCAGGCTGGTGGTGCACGTGGAGGCGTCGCTGCTCGAGGCCATCTTCGGTGAGCCTGCAGCCTGCGCGCTCCTGCGCTGCAGCGCGGGACCGACCCTGGCCCCGGCCTTCCTTAGAACGCGCGACTCCTGGCCTGGGGGCCCCGCGCCCCTCATGACCCCGCACCCTTCACGACCCCGCTTCCGTCCTTCCTAGGCCCACGCATGGCCTTCCTCGAGCTCTTCGAGAGGGTCAACGAGGTGCTTCTGGAGGTCCGAGTGACAGACCCTGCCGCCGACGCCGAGATTACCATCTTCGGGCGCAGGAAGTACCAGGAGCGCGCCGAGTGGCTGCTGCAGGCCATGGCCGACAGGCGCCG